CTGATGTTAAGCGGGTAAGTTGGTCGGTTGATGTATCGAGCGGCATGGCCGACTCCGAAGTTCCTTCACCACTGTCAACGGTCTTCTTGGAATGACTTTCCGGTCCCTTTCCTTCGTCTTCAGAATCTAGGCTGATGTTTTCAGCCATTTTTAAAACTATCTTGGGATAATTTTCGTCGAAAAGAAGCAATTTCAACTCCTCTAAGACAAATCGCGACTGTATGCTCGGACAACAACTCGCACTGAGCTCGGATACGCATGCTTGCTATCTCACGTGACCTCCGATTGTATGCAAATGCGAGGTAGAATTTATTATCCCAATTATTTATTTATCTAATTGTATATTTTTATTCAAGATTTTTATTGTAGTGTATTATATGTAGCAGGTCCACATCAGCATTTGCTGCCATATTTAACCTGCTTTATCAAATAAAGTATGTATGTATGTATGTATGTAATTTTATCAAGAGTAACGGGGAAGACTACATCCCGGGCGGAGGTAGGACCTCAAAAATTTTCGAGCGGAGCATGGTGATTACTGATACCGGTCTATTCATTTCCGGTTGTCACAAACACAGTAATGTCACAAAAGGACTTTCGAGCATCAACTAATTACTACAATAGTGCATATATAGTCTATTTTTTGTTAGTCTCGCTAACTATTTCGCTCTAAAATTAAAAATTCTTTTGGGAAATTTGAAAGGGATGTACGTATGCAAATGACATCACGACTATAAACTGACTAAAATTGTTGTCTGGACTGCTAGCTGACTGTAATATTTGTCACATAATATTCATAACACGAGCGGGAACAGAAGACCGTCGAACTCGCTTATGAAGGCTGATTTTTAGGAGAAAAATAAACAGGCTTTTAAATCTGCCTTTCTATTAACTTGTTTAATATAATAGATAGCACGATCTTTTGACACATACCTGTTTGGGACAGTCTTTGTGTCCTTTGTCCTTGCAATGACCTTCGGCTCGAACATAGCAGGCAGAGTTCAATAACTGGAAATTCTCCAGAAAATCTTCAAATTCCTCCCTGTTCCCATTAAAATATCCATAGCAAAACCCTTTATCAACCGAAAATCCGTTCAAATTCTCCTGCAAATAGTCTTTTTCTTTGGACACTGACTCTCCTTCCATGCTATAAACAGGACTTACACTCCGCAAGCGCGTAAAAAGCCCGCGAAAAATTTGCCTCAGGGGTTCGTACGCTGGACTGGAAGCTAACAGAGCTAAGGCTTACTTTTCTCTTAGTTAGTAGATGCTTTTGTCTATCAAAAGAGGAACCGTATTTAGTTTCTTCAACAATCACTTATATCAAACAATTATTCTGTTTTTCGAAAATTCACTTTTAGTAAATATTAAGAAATGGCATTAATATTTATTTGAATAATTCTTGACGAAGAGTCACGCTCGAAAGTCCTTTTGTGACATTACTGTGTTTGTGACAACCGGAAATGAATAGACCGGTATCAGTAATCACCATGCTCCGCTCGGAAATGTTTGAGGTCCTACCTCCGCCCGGGATGTAGTCTTCCCCAAGATTAACGCCAACCGTTACATCTAATACATTGTTCAACGTTTTACAGTTCTAGTGTATTT